TTTCAATGCAAACGTTTGTGTGGACATGAGGGGCTGGATTCGCGTGGAACACAAAAAGCCTTTCCACCAAAAGACCTACTACTATGGAGGCAAGTATAATATCAATCAGACATTTCAAGAAGCTTTCAACTATGCCACGGATCTCACTCGCAATCCTCCTCCGGAACCTCGTCGCCCTCGCCTTTTGAAGGCAAAGGCAAAGGCTGAGGCAGCACGCGCCCCACCTTTGGCGATCGAAGACGGGATTGCGTCAGACAATGAGTCAGAAGCAAGCCTCGACCCGGAGAGTTCTTCTTCTTCGAGCTTGTTAAGTGATGTGGAGGATGGCACTGACACGAGCTCTTCCCACTGGGGTGACGCGGGATTAGGCCCAGAGTGGAAGAGGTGCCGGCTTGCGGGAGTTGAAGACAATTGAAACTGGAACATGTCCTTTGTGCTGCTGACAGGGGGAATTGTCAGAAGCACAGTCGGTGTCCAGAGTTCACTCTCCATCTTTGTGGCTGGTTGGCCTGCGACGGTTCTTTAGGGGTTCACGTTTCCGTTTCTTAGCCTTTACTTGGCAAAGATCCAATCTTAGAGCTTGAACGTTGGAAGTCCTTGTGTAATATAAGGCGACTAGAGTGTCAAAAGCATATGGGCTGATCGCTAGCTGTCACACCGTTGTTTTTCATGTCCTTGGGACATACATGAGCCTTGCCACACCATACCAAGAAACTTGTTTGTGTGACTGTCTTGTTTAAATTTCAACTCATGTTTGGACTTCTTGGACACTGGGAGTTGGGACATTGGACGTGGACGTGGGACGTGAACGTGATTCTTCAGCTGTCAAACTGTCAAACTGTTAATGTTTAATCGGTGCGTGGCAGTTTTTCCTCGTTGAAGCTTCGACCTCGATATGTGGGGATTGACATGTAGATTGAATCGACGTGGGCTTGAGTCAGGCTTTGTAGTTCTTGTGATTATTGCGCCCTTGTGTTTCCTGTTTTCCTCACTCTTCATGGAGCAAAGCGCGCCAGACCAGTCTGCAGAGCATGGGTCCCAGCAAGGGGATGAGGATTGGGATGAGCAGCGTGCTTCGATGGCAGCAGTCCCACGACCAAAAGAAAAAGCAAAACCCAAAGCGGCTTCGGGGAAGAGCAAGGCAAAAGCAAAGGCGACAGCCAAGTCACGGGGTAAGCGAGAACCTGTTACTAGATGCATTTGTCCTAATTGCCCCTTTCCCAAATACCAAGGGAGTCGCTTTTGTTCTCTTGGAGACCACAAAAAAGCATGGGACAACATGGTGTATCAACGGAGAACTCGTAAGAATATCACAGAAGAAGAAAGGAAGGCTTTTGATGAAGCCATGAAAGATGATGGGTTTGCTGGGAAGTCTGTGGAACGCTTTGCTCTTGACAACCCTCCTGAAATGAAGAAGAAGGGATTGGTTGATTTTACCCAGTTCATTCGTGTCATCGGCCAACGGGTTGCCCAGCGAGATGCTGCTGGCGATGTGCCTATGACAGAAAAGGCCTTCTACAAACATTGTGAGAACGTGCTGGGGCTTTCTGACCAGGAAGCCGCAGACTACTGGAGAGAGTATGAGGATGATCCACGAATCGAAAGGGACCAGAAAGGCTTCAGAGGCTCATTGCGCCTATGGCTCCCAATGCAGGAATACAAAGTGAAGGAGCGAGAGCACTATGTGGACAACCAAGTTGTGGAGGGTTCTGACGTCATGAAAGCTCCGTCGGAGGAAGATCGACGCATACTCAAGGACGGCTGTAGTTAGTTGCATTGTGTAGATTTGTGTTGGTTTTGATTTTGTTGTTTATTGTTTAGTTGATGCAGGTAGTGAAGTAGGACAGATGAGGTTGCAGTTTGCAGTCCCACCCACTGATTTCTCGTTTGACTTTGCCCTCACAGGACCATCTTCGCCGTCAAGACCTGTCCTTCAGGGACATTCATTTGGCAATGACTGCCGAGCAGCACGCAGATCTCAAGTGCAAGACTCCAGGCAATCCTGGGATCAAGCAGGAGAAATCTGAACAAAAGGAAGACACAGAGACGCCAGAGAAACCAGTGAATCTGAGTCGTGAAAGGCCGATTCTTCATAGATCTGTTGAGACCGGATATTGAAAGATCCAAAGCGAGTTGCAGAAAAGCTTGCAATCTGCAAACGCAGCTGTCACGGCATGGAGGATTCATCCTGATGAGCTCAAGGCCACAGATCGCGCTTTGCTTTCGTTCTGTCGTGTGCTGCAGTTTAGGTTGGAATTGGGGCAGCGTTGCTTGGGGAATGCTTCAGAGATCGTGCAGTTGGTCCCAGACAACTCGCTGTGTTCTGGAGGCGCAACTGCCGGCTCTGCAGCTGACCTGCAATCAAGCGCCTGCCCAAGTGACGGCGTGACAAGCGATGAGAAAGCAAACAATGAAGCAAGGCGCGGCGTGCGCTTTGAAGACTTCATGAAAGAACCCAGGACGCAGGCGCAAAAGTTTTGGGAGGGTGACCTTAGTGCAGTTGTGCCTGTGGCCGACCTGAACGCCACTGTGGTTGACAAGATCTTGGAGGCTCAGGATGCAGGTCAGTTTTTGGCCCTGAAGAAGCAATGGACGCAAAGTCAGGCTTGCTATGCGACATTGTGCAAGGGCATCAAGCAGTCTGCAGATGACCTGGTCAAGCACATGAAGGTGAGAGTGGCGGAGAACACTCGTGAGAAGAAAAGGAAAGCTGAGGACGCGCAAAGAGAGCAGCTGAACAAAGTCAAGGAAGACGCCAAGGCTGCTGCCAACGCAATCAAGAAGCGGAAGCTTGAAGAGACGAACCAAACGCCAGCCCTTTACACTACTACCTGGCCGAGCGAGGCGGCTGCAGATGTGCGCAAAATCGATGGCATTGAGGCTTTGAAATCAGCTGACACTTGGAAGTCTCCTTGGGTGATTGTTTGTAGCTCTGCCGGAGCTGCAGCAGACCCAGATGATCCTGCTGTGGTTTGCTTGAGTGACGCTAAGCTGGCCAAGGCCCTCACGTCATGGGGTGGTCAGTACAAGAAAAGCATGGCCCATGCAAAGTTGCAACATGTTACTTTCCCTTTAGATGAGAAGACTGGACTGAAAACTGCAAATGAGTTCTTCTCTTCCTTGGTCTCTGAGTCAAACCTTGAAGCAAACATCGGCGCGGTGAAGGGCGGGGCCGCTTTCATGGAAGGTGCTTGGCTGTTTGGGTGCAGCGCCACCATGAAACATATTGGCTTCAATCCCAATCACGCAGGCCTGATCAAGTTGCTGGCAATTGGCGAGGTTCGGCGCCTTTTGCTTGATTGGGACTCCTTCAGCAAACACTTTCGAAGCAGCCTCGGAACAGATGCTGCTGACATGGGACCAGAGGACCTTTTCAATAAGTTCAAGGACTTGGATGAAACCAAGCTCCTAGAACTAGCAAAGCGTGGCGCTAACATGAAGCAGTGTATCCTGAAGAAACATGAGATTCTTTTTGTTCCAATGGGATGGTTTTCAGTTGAGGTGGCTTCAGACACTACGCCTATCTATGGGATTCGCAAGTCCTTCTTCTTGAAAGGGTCAGAGAAGGAGTACAAAGAGGCACTTGAACTGGTCAAGAAAGGCGGTGGCAAGTCAGTTGCCAGAATGGACCAAATCCATGACATTCTCAAGCAGGCCTAAAAGCCGAGCCTCATGTTTTGTTTGGGTTCATGGGTCAGACTGCGTTGCAGTCTGTTTTCTTGTGTGAAAGCCACGGCTCGAGGCAGCTTGGCTTTGTATTTGGGTGTCCGTTGCTGGGAAAACCTGGCAAGCGTTGACGTGAGAGACGCACTCAGACCTCCAATGCGTCCGATGAAAACTTGAGCTGGGAGATTTGCTTTACGACGTGTCCGCTTAGTCCAGAGTCCACACTATATATTTTGTAAAATATGTAATATGTATAAATATAAATTCTTTTTGCTCTTGGGCAAATCCAACTATTGGTGTTGTTTTGCTGTTGAATGCTCTAGGTCTCTATAGTCTCTATGTGTTTCCTCCCAGTTTTGACTTTCTCCGTGTTTGTCGTCGACGCCTTTAATTCTTGGCACATAGATTCCGTAGACACCCCAGTAGTGCTCAGTGCTCATGGCCATGGCTACCAACGTTGTTGGGCATGTTGAGCCTGATTTGGATAGCCGAGTCATCAAAAGAAAAAGGATGTTGGAGGTTCTGAGCTTGGAGTTCCAGAAGCTTGGCTTGGAACCCTGTTTGTACAGCCGTTGGCTTCCATGTGCCGACCTTTTGGTGTGCAAGCGTCCTTGGGAAAGAGAATGCAGGAACACGCGTGAAGCGATTCGGTTTGCTGGGGCGGTTCTTCAATCAGTTTTGGCAGAGCTCACAGGCACAGTTGAACGCTGGAAAGGACATGGCTTTCCTTGTGTGTGCCAATGCCCTGGGGCCCTGTCAGAAGAGTCCAGTGATTGCGGCAGTGCCAGTGATTGCTGATGGCAGGTTGAGTGAAACGATAGGTCATGGAGTCATGCATCCAAGCCCGAAGTTGTGCAATATAGCTTGGGCCAATTAGTTAAAGTTTTAGTCTTAGTGAATGAGTGTGGGCCTTTCCCACGTGATGCCGTGTTCTGTGGTGGCGAAAAAAGGTTGCAAGGGCCCGGCAAAGCGAGAAACGCTGCAAAACATTGTTTCAGGTTCATAAGTAGGAGAGGCAAAAAGAGTAAGTGTTTTCTTAGTTTGTTTATTCTTTGATGTGCTTCCCTTGCTTGAAAAATTGAAAAGCAATCTGAATCAAATTGAAAGAAAAAACCACAGGCCGAAGGAGGCCGGGAAAGAAATAGTGAAAGTTGCTAGTTGTTATTTGATTCTAATTAGATTCTAATTTATATATTGTTTCTACTAGCTTCTTGTTCCTAGTAGTAAGGCCCTTGCTTCTAGTAGCGATGCCAGGAGCCCCTAGTAGCGTCCTTGAGATGGCTGTTTAAACTGTTTGCTCTCATTTTTCGTGTCCAACGTCACCGCACTGAGAGGTTCAGCTGTTTTCGCCCATGGACCTGGAGAGAGGGAAGTCTTTTGAGTCGGAGGGCACAAATTCATGCCCTAGTAGTAACAAGTGCATCGCTATTAGTAACAAGTGCCTTACTAGTAGTAACAAGAAGCTAGTAGAAACAAGAATTCTTTGAACATCGGTCTTCTTTCCTTGACGAGGAGGTTTGTTACTGGGATGCCATCGCTTCTTCTCAGAATCGGTCCTTGTGGCCAAGAACACGTTCCGCTGTAAAGGGTCCAAGGGTTTGGAAGGAAAGAATGCCTTTTGAGGAAAGAGTTTGGTGGAGTTGAAAGCGTGCTGCCAAGAATGTTGTCACTCAAGGCATTCTTGGTTGCTAGTGACGGGCAGTCTCTACAGAGCATAGTAAGCATTATTTTAAAAAGTATCCTTGCAAGAACAGCAAGGAGTAGTTCAAGCTACTAGGGGCTCCTGGCATCGCTACTAGGAGCAAGGACGCTAATAGGTTGGAGGATGTTGGAGGCCATTGCTCTTGTTTATTACACAAGAAGCTAGTAGGAACAAGTGCATCGCTTCTAGTAACAAGTGCCTTGCTAGTAGTAACAAGGTTCGCTAGTAGGAACTTTCACTCTTTTTTGCGCAGGAGAGCTCGCAATCGGCTGCGCCCGTGAAGGCGGACCAGGACCCGGTGGTCTTGGTAGGAGAGGCTGGATGATCGCAGTCGGAAGTGTTTGGCTTAGGTCGTTCCACTGGTCCTAGTAGTTGGCATCCTTGCTCCTAGTAGCGTCCTCTTGTTCCTAGTAGCGATGCCAGGAGCCCCTAGTAGCTTCTTGTTACTAGGTCATTCCACTGGTCTGATCAATGGCGCTTTGGGATTCATTTGAGCTGCGAGGTTCTAGCGCGATTCGCAAGATCGCGAACATGTTGGTGACCATGGGTCGATCTTTGGGCAGATGCGCACCATGTATAATTATTCGATATCTTTTTAATAAGCCCGCCCCCCCCCTCCCTACTTAATTAAGCAAGGACTAGCTACCTAGCTAATAGCTTAAGTAGCTACTACCAACAGGACGCAGGATTGCTCGAGCTTCTTCAAGGAAACTCCCCCAGCTTCCTTGAAGAAGCGCTCGCACTAATGAAAAACGTGAATTTGTTTTCCTGTTGTCCCTTTCTTTCAAGAGATCGGTTTCGGCAAAGGCAGCGAATGAGCCACCAGGGGGCGACCGCCTTAGAAGCACAGGATTCCGACCAAACAAGCTATGCGGGTATTCCATAAAGAAGGCATTCATATTGTTACTAGTAGTAAGAATGCTCCTAGTAGTAAGGCCAGGAGCCCCTAGTAGCCTTCTTGCTCCTAGTAGCGATGCCCTTGGTCTTGAGAGGAGTCTCCCAAATCAGTTTGTGCTTCTACTCTGAGGGATGGCTCCTCGTGTCCCTCGTTCTACACACGCCTGGGCCCTTCAATATCTTCCGGGTTTGGCTCTCTCCAGATGCGTTCTTCTTTGGTGTTTCACTATTAAGGTGTGCTGGAAAGATTACTACAGCTGACTATCTTCACTAGAAACCAAAACGCTTTGTTTGAGCACAAATCACAGGAATCTACGATTCTTCAAAGAATCTGCAATCAAGGCTCCGATGAACGTGCTGGACCCCACACTTATAAACCCACAGAGTTCTGCCTGGGATGGAGAGGCAGGAACTCGGCAAAATGCAGAGGAACAGGGGGAGTATATAGCATTATTGCATCGCTAGTAGGAACAGGTGCCTCGCTACTGTAACAAGTGCCTCGCTACTAGTATATAGCATTATAATGCATTATATAACCCCTTTAGAGGGGCCCACTGGGCACTGGGGTGGACAGATGAACACCTGTCGGTGTGGGATAGCTGAGTGCTCATGAGGAATATACTGATCTAGCTAGTACAGTCCTTCTGACGACATGGGCCCTACATTCAGAGAAGGGAAGGTTCTTTATGAATCCTAAGAGAATTCACATTGACCAGGTGTTTTTCCACAAGGTTCTGCAGAAAGTTCTACAAAGCAGCATCCTCTCCAAAAATGTTCGTTCGGGACACTGCAAGTGAAACATTCAGATGAAACCAGGAAAAAGGCATCGTAGCACTTGCTGTCATGTGCGGTGGGATGTGAGAAGTCACCCCGGACAAGAAACTAGTAGTAACAAGTGCCACGCTTCTAGTAACAAGTGCCTTACTAGTAGGAACAAGGTTCGCTACTAGTAACAAAGGTGCTAGAAATGACGCACCAGATAGGTTGGAGCCGATTACTACTAGTAACAAGAAGCTACTAGTAGCTAGAAGCTCGGAAAGCGTCCAGCCCAAGCCTCCCATCTCGAGGCGCTGTACGCGGCGCTGCATCCACAGCGCGGTTTGGGCGATGTGGGCATGGGAGCCTGGAGAGCTTGGAGAGTTGTTTTTTTTGCCCGGTCCCCCCCCTTCCCTACTTAATTAAGTAAGGCGACTAGTTCGCTACCAGTGGGCCTCCAACCAAATAGCAATGGCCTCCGACCCCATATGGAAAGTACGCCTGCGTCTTGAGGAAATGAAAAGATGAAAACCAAGTAGGTTTCAGCTGGATGCCCGCCGCAACACTCCAGAATCTGCAATCGGAATGAAGCGATGCATTCGCGAATGGGATGTGAGAATTTGTAAGGAGCTCGTTGTGTTGGCTTGGTCCAGATCCTTTCTCATCCTTATTCTCCAAACCAGGAAATGGCCCCTTGTCTTTGCCATTGGTCGTCAGCCCAGGAGATATGCTCACTCTGGCGCAAGGCTTACGTTGTTGCCTGGCAGTCTTCAGTGTGTGTACTGACCGAGAACTGTCACGATTCTTGCATTCCTTTTGTTTAGCTTGTTGGCCCCATGCGAGTGCTGTTAAGCTAAAAAAGAAGAGATAAGAAAGGTCTAAAGGTCCGAGGAAAAAATGACAAATTGCCTATGTTGGTTTGCATTCCTTTCCTTTGGCATTCTGGGCCCCATGTGAGTCTTGTTTTTCCTTGGCATCGCGGCATTGTTCATTCGGGACCATTGCACAAGGTTGTGCCCTTAGACACACAAAGTGAAGCCAAGGCTTCAAGGGGCAAGACATCGCGATGCTCAAGGTGACAACTTGGGGAGGCGGTGGATCACTTAAACATGATTTGGAGGTTGAAACATGTTGAAAAAAGAGTTGGGAACATTGTTTGATGATTACATGGTGGGTGCCTACGGTACCGTAGACGTCTCCAACTGGAAAGGAGCAATTTCTTTGAGTCTAGGCTATGAAAAATCGGCATTTCACGTTGCACCATTCGGGAAATTGCCTGCAAACTTTGGTGGTCCCAGTCCTCATTGGACACATTAAACGGAAGGGCATACCATTGTTATAGTCTTAACCCTTGGACGAGCAGGGCACGCATTGCAGTTCTGAAGAACTTGTCTATGCACCGCTCTGGTATGAAGCCTTATATCCCAGGGCAACCCATTGGTAACATCCCCAACACCTGTCGCCACCAGTGAGCGGGCCTTGAAGCAGACTTCGAACCTCGCAAGTTAAAGCAGAACACCAAGACAATAATATCTTCGCTAGTAGTAACAAGTGCCACGCTAGTAACAGGGGCCTTACTAGTAGTAACAAGAAGCTATTAGGAACAAGTGCCACGCTAGTAGTAACAGGGGCCTTACTAGTAGTAACAAGGTTCGCTATTAGGAACAAGTGCCTTAATAATATCTTCGCTCCCAGTAGTGGCCTCCAACCTAGCAGCAAACAGATCCAGGACACTCAAAGCTTACTCTTCCACTTGCATGAGAGCGCAGTAGGGGCACTCAGATATGCCAGAACAGGCCAAAAGCAGATGGCACAACTTCCAAGATTGCTTAAAGCCTATGCACAGAATACTGCAAAAACCAAGCTCACGGAAAAGAACGGAGACTTGGACTTTCCTTTGGAGGCTTTTCGAGGTGTCTATTCACATGAGTTTGATTGACTCTTATGGCTCCCTTGATTTTGATTCCTTTTCTTGGTGACTAACTCCTTTGAGTTGGAAGAAGGAAAGAAAGGAAGAAAACAAAAGAATAAGTTAAGGCACCTGTTACTAGTAGCTTCTTGTTACTACTAGTAAGGCACCTGTTACTACTAGCGTGGCACCTGTTACTAGTAGCTTCTTGTTAAGTTATGTTAAGTTTCCCCAAAAGTCTAGGAACCAGATCTTCAGTGCAAACACATCGTCAAGGAAGCTCCCCCCCTCCCTCCAGCGTGGGGAGCTTCCTTGAAGAAGACTATCCTCCGTCCATACTAGTAGCTTACTAGCAGCTACTAGCGGCCTTCCTCTCCTACTAGCTATCTCTCTTCGGCCTACCCCCTTTAAAAAAGTAAAACATATAATATTATCTATATATATGCTACTAGGAACAAGTGCATCGCTACTAGTAACAAGTGCCTTACTAATAGTAACAAGAACGCTACTAGTAACTAAATTATATATTGTTTCTACGTTCGCTTCTTGTTACTACTAGTAAGGCACCTGTTACTACTAGCGTGGCACCTGTTACTAATGCTATAACGAGAAAAAACATGTTGGTCCATTCCGTGCCTCCGCTCCGAGGCCTTGACTGGCTCGGCAGAGCTCCGAGGCCGATTGCTCGAAATCACCCGCACATTCAACGAGGCGCACAGCACCGTGAAAGTGTTGAAAGAGATGGTTAGTAGCGTCCTTGCTCCTAGTAGCGATGCCCTTGTAAGTGTTGAAAGAGTGAAGTGTGAAGTTGTAGTGGTGAGTGATGTCTAATGTTTTTGTTGCACAGAGAGAGAGGGGTGTGTGAAGTGTTAAGTGTTTGGCTTTAGTGGCAATGTGGTGGAAGAGGAGATAAAAAGGAAAGGCTCTACTACATGCGGTCTGATAGTATCATAGGGAATCATAGGAAAGATTTAAAGATGCCCCATGTGTGTTGGGACGTTGGAGTCCCTTGCAACTTGGTGCACGAGCATTTGCTAGTGCAGTTTCGAGCGCTTTTCGTGGTCCCAATCCACATCCCGAGAAGTGAGAGGCCCAGAGCGCTTATGAAGAAAAGAAAGTAGAGCTGGGACCTGAGTACCCGTTCAGTTGCCTGCTTGACAACTTGAGTACCCGTGGTGGTGTTTATGTGCACCGAAGATCCAGAACCTGGCACTGTGACAAAGAATAGAACTTCTGTAGCACGTGCTTGGTCTAAGGGAAAAAAGTTGTGTTCTATAGCGTTTAGAATACGTTCTTGTTACTGGAGTTACGGTGGGAATCCGTGTGACCGCATGGGCCCTGACAAGCGCCCAGGCTTGAAGCGAGCCAAAGGGAGCTGACCAGCCTTTTCAACGAGGTCCTCGACGTGGAACCTAACTCCTTTGTGCCACAGGAAATACCGTGCGATCATTTGGCATCTGCGGTCGCTGCATGTTTAGGTTGGAGGCCATTGCTCTTGGGTTGGAGGCCATCGCTACTAGGTTGGAGGCCTTTCCTAGTAGGTTGAACGCCGTTGCATGTCTATTTTCAGCGATTCTTGATGGAAAAAGGACCGTTGCTTCGTCAGTGACCATGAGAGCTACTAGTAACAAGTGCATCGCTACTAGTAACAGGTGCCTTACTAGTAGTAACAAGAAGCTACTAGAAACAAGTGCCTTAC